AACAACATTGTCAAGGGAAAAAATATTCCACCAATTGCTACTTTTCGTGGTGTTTGTTCGTACATGTGTTTTTGACAAATAAGAATTAGCCAATCATCCAAAGAAACAACTAAAAACCTTAGCACCATTTGTGATGGAAAGGTAATGAAGTAAGTTATGCTATCATAAACATAAGTTAATTAAAGGCAACAAAAGTGCATTTTAAACGACACTCATAGCAACAAACAACATTACCAAGACCATTACAATTGAAGCCATAAAGAAACAACAAAATCATCAAACACAGAACAACTCTCATGTCTACTACCAAAACTGAACATGTTTGCAGCACCTAACGAATTTGTAAAAAGTGTTTGCAACAACTAGCTTGGATGCAGTACTCCAAATTATATATATATATATAAAATTTAAAAAAATGCTTAAACCACTAGTTTGACCAGTTGAACTACTGGTTCGACCAATAAACCAGTGAACCAGATTCTAGACCGGTTCGATTAGCAATCAGATTCTGAAAACTATAAATGAAACACATCACTAGTACGAGTACCTTTTGGGTTCTTGGCTCGTTTGGCTTTCACTGCGGTCACATGTCCACTATTGCCACACATGAGATAACATGTACCAAAATTAGAATCCCGATAATGCCACTAATATACAATAAAAAAAGGGTCATGCTACACTTACACAAAAAATTGTACCATATTTATACATCGCAGTTATACACAAACATTTTAATGGTTTACACCGACACAAATGTCGGTGCGTTAACAAAAATTTACACGGACACAAAGTGTTGATGCATTAACAAAAATTAGTTTTACACCAACACAAAATGTCGGTGCAAACCTGCGTTGTACAAAATGGGGTACAAATAGCTTTATCCTAAAAAAGAAGAACCAGCCCAAACGGTTACAATTATGAGTTTCATATTCTTAAAATTAAAAATCACTAATTTTGATTTTGGTTTTGTTTGGAATTAACATTTTCAATCGACATTTTTTATTTTTTGATGGGTGTAAATTAAGTGTCAATAACAATAATTTTGTTGAGTCTCTGGAGCATTGGGTTTGGAGGGAGTGTGTGCACATTGATTTTACCCCTACTTGAAAGTACAAAGGTTTTTACAAGAGACATGTGGCTCAAGTAACACAAATAGTTCAAACTCACATAAGACACATAAAAACACATACAGAAGAGAAAACACAAGCACATAAAGCCAATACAACTAATATTTTTTTATTGAAAACCCAATACAACTAATATTAATGAAAGAAAGACAAAGAAAATAGAAAGCACAAGGTGAAAAGTGATAAAACTTAGGAAATCAATGTAAATAGGAGTAAAACAAAGGGAGAATACCAAAATAGGAGTTCTTTGTTTTTATCCCTAAAATAAGAGTTTACATTTTGGTAATGTGACATTGTATATTGACACTTCATAATATTTTTTGGTATTGTATATGATCATGATTGATACTGTAAAAAGAAAGCACCCTAAATAGGACTAAAACATAGATTAAGTATCAAAATATATATAAGTTCTATGTTTTTATACATGTGTATTTTACGTAATGTACATGATCATGATCGGTAATGTAAATGCATTTTAACTCCTATTTCGAGAATAAAAAAATGAAACTTCAATTTTTGTAATTTTCAATGTTTTACTCCTACTTTAGTCTTTTTTCTCATTGTAAATGCATTTTAACTCCTATTTCAGGAATAAAAATATAAAATTTTTATTTTGGCATATTTTTAATGTTTAATTCTTACTTTAGTCTTTTTTCCATAAAGTTACCACTCAATTCAAGATGCCTACACTACTATAATTCTAGTTATATAAATTTTTTTGTCTATGGTCATATTCTCATTAATGGCCAGAAGTCTTAAGTGCTGAAACTAGGGGTGAGCAAGTACCGAACCGATTTTGAAATTTATCGAAAAAACTGAAAAATACCGAACCAAAAAAGTACTGAGAAGGAACCAAACCGTAACGAACTGAACGATCAGTACGGTACGAGATGACGTCTCATACTGAAAATCCCGAACCAAACATATCTGTTGACCCTTGTGTTTTGATAATGACAACCTTATATGTGGGATAAGCTTTGGATCTTTGAATCAAGTCACCTGGATCATTTCGTAGGGATTATCTTGCAAGTCGGCTTACGAGCTCCAAGACAAGAATTGGCTTACGAGCTCCAAGACTAGAATTGGTGTTAAAAAAAACAAAAGGTTTTTAGATCTTTTACATTTTTTTTAAGTCTTAGTTCTTGTTAAAGTGTGTGGCACATGTTTATTCTTCAAAATTCTCTATTTCTCTTAAAAGAATTCCTTCTTTATTGTTATTTAAAATGTTTTTTTCAAAACTATGTTTTCCTAGGCTTTTGTTCGAATAAATGATGATTTATTCGAATAAGAGGGACCTCTGCAGATTGCAGCTCGGTCTGTTTTAATCGAACAAATGCTTATTTTATTCGAATAAGTGTTGATTCCATTTTTCCAGACTTTTGAAAACTATTCGAATAAATGGTTATTTATTCGAATAAGTAGCTTCCTAGAATTTCAGTTCACCCTGGTTTATTCGAATAAATCTTAGATTTACTCGAATAAGAACTGCGTTTTCTAAATTCCTGTTTTATCAAAACTATTCGAATAAATGGTGTTTTAGTCGAATAAATCGACAGTTTTCATAACTAACGGTTAGTTTTTAAATTCCCGTGGAGGTTTCTTCGGCCCTATCCATATATACTCAATCTAGTTTCATTTTTCAAAATACAAGAACATCCAAGAACATTGACAATTGCTATCCTTTGAGAATTTCAAAGAGTTTTATTGAATCAAATCCTCTTACTCAATTAATTCAAGCATTTTCTTGAGCAATCCTTCATATTGAAGTTTGGAGA